ACACCTCCCTGCATGTGACTTGCACAGCCTTCCATAAACACTTCCTGTAAAGAGAGCCCTATTTAGGCTTTCTTTATTGCAAGTTCTGTTTAATTAAGATTTTCTTATCCCCTGCTATGTTAATAGCTTGCTAGACCCTGCAAGAGCCTCCTGTATGTGATTAAAGTTCAATTTAGAGATTGAGATACAATTATTTAAGGTAAATTACATCTGTTTGAAAGTGAAACCAGTTTTTTTTTCATGCAGGCTCTGTCAATCATAGCCAGGGGAGGTGTGGCTAGGGCTGCATAAACAGAAACAAAGTGATTTAACTCCTAAATGACAGTGAATTGAGCAGTGAAATTGCAGGGGAATGATCTATACACTAAAACTGCTTTATTTAGCTAAAGTAATTTAGGTGACTATAGTGTTCCTTTAACCTTCTCGTGCACTGTCACACTCAGTCCCCAACCCTTTTACACTCATCCTCTATCAGTCTGTCCCACTCACCCCCTTCACCCTGCCACACTCACCCTACCACATAAGCCCCTTCAATCCTGTCCTCCAACTGTTCCACACTTACCCAAACCCTGTAACACTCTCCCCCCAACCCTGCCACACTCACACTTTCACATAAACCTAATCCTGCCATGTTAACCCCCTTAATCTTGTCACTCACCACCCCTCATTATGTTACACTGCCTCCTCCAAACATGGCACATTCACCCCAACTCTGTAATACACCCCCCAGCTATGCCACACGCAGCCTGTCTCAGTAACCTCCTCCAATCCTGTCACATTACTTCCCCATGCCCTTTCACACTCCCTACTCCAACCATGTCACAGTCGCCATCTATTACATGATTTACCTTACGATTATTTCATTTCATTTATTTTTATTTTTGGGCTAACTATCGTAAGGATACCAGTTCACAATAGGTCAATCTATTTCGGTTACGTCAACCCTGCCCCTTGGCCTGATTGGTTGAATCAGCATCCAAGCTAAGGGCAGGGTATTTAAACGTCCGGTATTTTTAGATTTGTTTCCCCTGGAAGAGCCACTATTTGGCGAAATGCGCGTCGGGACAGATTTAGCAGTGGTTGGCAGTGAGACTAGGGATGATGCTGCAGCTATCTTCTAAGATGAAGACAAGCCACCACGCTGTGATTTTAGTATAAGATTTTTACTTATAATTATATTTATTTTCCTTTATATTTTTATAGTGCCAGTTCCATTAGGAAGCTATAGTGCCATGAAACAACTACCGTACCTGATTGCTCTGGCCCTCCACTGCCTCAGTCATTGCACTGCTCTCACCTATCCTCCTGGTCTGAGGTTTTCTGACGCTTCCGACATATTCAGAACAGGTGGAGGAAAGAGTGATAGGAGAGACGTGTTATACACTTTGGGGTTAAAGTTTGGCGTTTGTGATTAAGTTGTTATGGTGCCTAGAGTGGTCTTTAAAAGTGCTATATTAGGTTAAGTAAAGTCACAAGTAAAATGCATATACATACATATAGTAACGAGATCTTTTCGTAATGTAGTACCAGGTATCTCAAAAAGAGAAGAAAAATACACAATAATAGTGTAATATGTAAAAAAATAAATGATATGTGATGGTATGATAGAAGGCAATATTTACATTGCTGCCTATTAACACCTGTAGTGGCAGTCGCTCATAAGGCCTCGAGAGGAGTTTCCTGGGTAAATGCTGCACAATGTGCAGCACCTACATTCAGTGTCTCCATGCTTTGCATTAAGGCACCTAATGCTCCCCACAGGGATACAGTGGTTCAGTCCATCTCTGAGGAGATGTTGATTGTCATAGTGTGGCATTTTGCTGTGCATGCACAATAGTTTTCCAATGCTTTCCTACAAGGAGGAAGCATTGGATTGGCTGAGATCGTCAAGCCATGCGTGCGAGGTAGCAGGGCAGGAAGAATACAGCTCCCTAGCCGTCTCTGTATGCACAGTACAGTAACTATATGCTAGGTAAAAGTAGGTATCCTACTTACATGGAACAGAGCATGGACCTGCTCTGGTATTGCAGTTTTTTGGTGGTACAATCCCCATCTAGGATGTATGGAACCAGGAAGCCAAAGTAGTGTAAGAAAAATAAATAAAATTTAAAAGGATTAACTTTTACAATTTTAAGATAAAAGATAATATATATAAAACAACCCAAACAGGCTATAAGAACACACTTAATGCGTTTCACCTTGGGGTTTCACTAGAAGTGTGCTGTAGTACAGCATGGTATCTGTTTATATAGGTAAAATATAGAAATAATTAACAATAACAGGTGTTCAATAAGGGTTTTTTATTGGTTTCTATTAAAATGTCCGGTTTTCGGACACTAACCGGAAGTGATGTCAAGGGGACGACATCGATATACATTGAACGTGACTGGGGTCCTGGAGCCGAAATGGGGAACTCGCTCTAGCAACCCCCAGGCACTGGGTACCCATAGAAGTGCTATCATTTTGCAAATAAAAAGACTTAAACCAAAAATAATTGTTCTTTAGAATCACCTAAATTGCTTCCAGAATAAAATGAATCTGTGTTTGGTGCATATCTCCATTTTTATCTAAATATTTTTACAGCACTGCAGCTTTTTTCATGTGGGATAATTGTATAAAATGACTGCACATCACATGTAATAAAGCCAATGATCTTTATTCTATTTTATATCATTCAAAAAAAGTTTAGGTCTATTGTGTCTTTTAAATAAGATTTCATTTTCTTTACATACTATTTTTGATTTGATAAGTCTTTTTATTTGTAAAATATTGGCACTGCTATGGGTAACGTACGTGTAGCGGATAGTATTACGGCTGTCCTAAAAGACTGTGTTAAAAATGCAATTCGTGTGTTTGTTTTCCTGTATAGATAAAAGTGTATGTAGTATTTGTATGATTGTTCGGTAGTTTTCAGCCGTATTCCATACGAATGAAAACTACCGAACCAGTAGACCATCCCAGAGAGAAATGTGCACCTTATTAGGCTTCCACACTTCTCTAACCGCAGGTTAATTGGTACTTTGTGCATGGATCTGGGTGGCCGCCGTTCTGCTTACGAACACGTGGCGGCAGCCATCTTACGCACGAAAACCTCAGCGGTGTTTGGTCGCCCAATGTCTGGAACTCAAATCGGACACTGACTTACCCGAACACCGCTGAGACCTCCAGAGCTCCGTAACTCCCGAACGGAAGGGCTAATCAGCCCCTCGTTCGGTGAGTTAAAAGTACCGAGCAAGGGGATTCATGTGAATACAATGTTAGTAGTGGATGTCATGTATTTCTGTGTATTTTACCTCCCGAACGGAGACCGACCGCAGGGCCGAAACACATGGAACCCTTTTCGGCTACCACCTCGTCTGCGGTCGGTCAAATTGTCTCTTCCACCTAACTCCCGAACCCCTGGTCCGATCTGGGTGAATTTTGGATATGTTGGTCACCCAGATCAGGGCTACCAGGGGGTGCCACTAAGCCCATTGTACCTAACTGTTTTGGGGTACATCCAGAATTCGGGGGAAAACTACAGTATGTTTTATGGGATTATGTGTCACACTGAGGGGAGATGTGTGGGAGGTAACTGTTACATTATTGGCTACTGTCTTAATTATGGTGAATCCCTCCCTTGCATGGGAGAATGCTTTAAAAGGAGGTTGTGTGGATTAAAAGTCAGTTGTGCTCCTGATGCTGTGTGTCGTCCAGTAATTGGGATCTGTATGGGAATATTCGTGGATTACCTTGCTTGCTGGGATTATTGCTCTATGGTATTTTTATTACTTGTTCCTGAGCCTCACTGGGATCTTTAGTGGAGTTAACCTGTGAAATACCACCTCTCGGGTACAGTGTGAGTGTGCCTTTATCATACCATCATATAGCATTTATTTTTTTTATATATTACGCTATTATCGGGTCATTTTCTTCTCTTTTACATTACGAAAGATCTTGTTACCGTATGTATGTATGTGCATTTTATTTGTGACTTCACCTTTGTATTTCACGAGATCAGGGAACCCTTGTAAGATCTACTGCTGCCTTCCTTACAGTATATATTGAACAACTATATTTATTTTTATTTTTATACGATATTAGATTACAGTTAGTTATGCTAGGTGGGCTTTTTGTATTCCCCCTCCTTTCTAATCTGGTGTGGTTTCCGTTATACTCCAATAACCGTTATAGATCAGGAAGCATTGAAATGGTTCAATGAGTTGTAGTTCAGCTAACAGCTTTGAAAAGAAGACTGCAACTCCCAGACACCTCTGCTCTGCGCATAAGCCCCCTATGCATGACATTATGGGAAAAGGTCAGAACTTGCCATAGATCATTTTTGGAGCATTCTGATTAGCTAATCACTTTCTGGCTGTACTCGGCACAGGATCTGCTAAGTGAGTGTGAGGATTTATTGTAAATGCAGTAACTCCAAATGTGAGTGTCTTTCAATATGCTGTTATGGTGGACTGGTTGTTTTTGTTTAATGCGTTATCCAGACAATCCCAGCCTAGTGCTCTTTTTAACACTTTGTATATTATAGAAGACCGCAAGGTTCCGTGTTTATTATTTCTCTGGAGGAAAAGAAAACCATTCCTTTGGAGAATAGAATAACAATAATGATTTTGTGTAGGGAGATCATATTCCCAGATTAATTCCAACACACACAGTGTCCATCCCAGCTGATTGGTTTTACAGTCCCTGTCTCTTAAGGGGACTTGATAAGTACCTGTTGTGATTTTTATACACTACAGATTGTGCTGAACCATTCATTAATCTGGTCACAATTTATGTTCTTCTAAAGACCTCACATAATATGCTTCACTCCTATATGTATGTGATGATAGATAACACCCTGTGAGATCTGTCCTCTAATGGATGACCGCCCTCTGTCCCATTTAAGGGTAAGACTGGTTCCATAAAGCGGCCCTCCTTTGGACCGCTCTATATATGTTCCCAGTATGTTTGCCTGGCTCATTGCTTACTTTCAATTGTTTCTCTGAGTTTACAGTGTCACAATGACCAAGTGCATCGTCAAAGGATGTGCAAACACCACCAGCAAGAACAGCGGATTCAAGCTGCATGGCTTCCCCAACTCCCTGACGGCAATAAAATGTTGGCTTAAGCAAATCGGAAACGAGATCGGCGACATTGACGCCCTTGCACAGCACATTCTGGATTCAAGAAAACGTTGGATTTTTTGCATTTGTTCTGCTCCCTTTTCACCCCTGTGTTACATTTGGGATGGTAAAAAATTAATTCTGAGAGGAGATGCCGTCCCCACTATATTCCCTGGGACAAAATCCAGAGCAGTCGTTGCGGCAACAGGCGACATTAATGCCAGTCATTTACCAGCCAAGAAAATCAAAGTGGATTCTCTTCCAAAACTTCTTTCACCTGCACAGGGACTGACCAGCATTGACACCGAAAGGGGACAGTGCAGGAAATGCTGCCATCCAGTACACATCACGAAAGATGCATACACGTCAACACACAAGAAAATGGTCAATACGTCTTCAGATCCGCCATGTAATCGACGTGACAGAGGAGTGCAGTGGCCAGAGTTCGAGTTTAACTTTGATGGTGAGCTGTGGAAGGTGCAACTTGACCACTTCTACCCTAGCACAAGCTCGATCCAAGCAAAGGCCATAAAGAAATGCAAAACATCTGCCCAAAGTCATGAGCATCCTTATGCATCTGGCACCATAACGTCTCCAAACCACATATATAACCCCCAGCCCTACTGAGTACTCGCTCCACGGTGCCATCCAACAAGGCCACCAGGTTTAACTCCAAGAGCCAGCAGTACGGGTCGATGGCTACCTGCACAAATGACTCAGTGGAAAATATTTCAGAAAGCGATCTAGCCAGAGAGAGGACATATCTGGTGTTTGAGTCCTGCCTGGATGATTTACTTTATAAAATGACTTGTCGTTATGCTGAGGGTTGTACAGCACGCATTAGTAAATTAGAAAAGTGAACTTTTCTGTCTGCTATAGGCCACTGTCTTAGTGGTCACCGCACCCAACTGTGGCACAGTCAGCCTACCATGGGAAACATTGCCGCTGGCAATGTTCTAACTGCCGCAGCTTTACTGTTCAGTGGCTCCAGCTTCCATAAGTTGAGGGAGATGAGTGAGTTTTTGGGTCTCCAGCAGATAAATTTATCCACTTACCAACAATATCAACAGAGGTTTATTTTCCCATCGATTAGTCTGCATTGGCAGTAGGAGCGCTCAAGGCTTAGAGACGCCTTCAAAAACACCCAGTTAACTCTTTGTGGGGACAGACAGAATATTCCGGGGTTCAGTTCAAAGTACTGTCTGCATACATTTCTTGTAGTAGCCACTAGCAGAATATTAGATTTTCAGGAATCTGAAAGTGTCTCACCAGCTGCTATGGAGAAGCGTGCTTTCAAAAACTGTCTCAGTAGATTGCTTGAAGAGTTTGAGATAAAGCCGATTGCTACAGACTGTCACCAGGGCATCAGGAAAACAATGGCCAAAAATTACATCCACCTCCTCCATGAGTATGATGTGTGGTTCTATGTCATGGGAGTGAGAAAACGCTTGATGAGAGCTAGCAAGAAGAAAGCCTAGTTGAAGCTTCGCCAATGGATACCTGCTATTAATGATCACCTCTGGTGGTGTGCCAGTACAAGCGCGGGAATGAGGAAATGCTGCTGGAACGGTTGCAGTCACTACTTCTCCACATAACAGACCAACATGAATAGGATGGTGCAAACTTATACCATGCCTATGCTCATAAACCACTCACACCAGAGCAGCGCAGTGTCAGACCCTGGTTAAAAAACAGGACTCAGAGTCTGAATGTTCTAAAGGATATTGTATTAAACCAACAGATCACTAATGACTTGTCCCAATTGTCATAGTTTTGTCACACTGGGGAAGTCGCAATTTATCACCGCTTCATATTGAAATACAGCAGTATAAAGAAGCATTTCAAGTTGGATGCCATGGAAGCCAGGACAAAGCTAGCTGTCCTGGCACACAATGCCAACACGCACAAACACCTTGCAAAAATAAAATATAGGCGGAAAAGGACAGGTCTGGGCGTAAAAAGAGGGAAACTTCTGTATTGTAAAAAACGCTGGAATGACCACTGGAATTTAAATGAACACATTTCGCCCATGATGGTCGACGTTTTAAAACTCTGTTCAGGACAATGGCGTCAGAATTGGCAGTCTAGGCCAAATGTGACACTAGAAAACCTCAAAACAAAACCCCAACCTAGCTAACCCATGGACTATATGCCCTCACCGCAGCAACCTGCTAGCTCAGGTTATACGTTACTCATGATGTCAGGGAAGCAGTGGCTTGGAAACCTGAATTCTTTATTTTATAGGGAACATTCACACTGGGAGTCAATTCCTGTGGAAAATAAATAACATTTGTACGTACTTAATTTTATTGAGATTTCCTTGAGGTGTGTTATTACTCTGGTAGGAGGACGGGTGTTGTCACCTGGATGTAGGTTTATAAAACCTGAAGACTTACAGTGTGTACAGCTACAGAGGATTTCATGGGCTGCTCTGCCCTTCACATTCCCCCATCCACCTTGCCTGTCTCTCTCCACCATCCATCCTGCCCATTTCTCTCCTCCATCCATCCTGCCCATCTCTCTCCTCCATCCATCCTACCCTTCTCTCCATCCATACGGCCCATCTCTCCATCAAAACTGCTCGTCTCTGTCCTCCATCCAACCTGCCCGTCTCTCTTCTTCCAACCTGCCCGTCTCTCTTCTTCCAACCTGCCCATCTCTCCATCCATCCTGCCCGTCTCTCTCCTCCATCCATGCTGCCTGTCTCTCCATCCATGCTGCCTGTCTCTCCATCCATGCTGCCTGTCTCTCCATCCATGCTGCCTGTCTCTCCATCCATGCTGCCTGTCTCTCCATCCATGCTGCCTGTCTCTCCATCCATGCTGCCCGTCTCTCCATCCATGCTGTCCATCTCTCTCCTCCATCCATCCTGCCCTTCTCTCCATCCATCCTGCCGTTCTCTCCATCCATCCTTCCCTTCTCTCCATCCATACGGCCCATCTCTCTCCATCCATCCTGCCCGTCTCTCCATCCATCCTGCCCGTCTCTCTCCTCCATCCATCCTGCCCGTCTCTCTCCTCCATCCATCCTGCCCGTCTCTCTCCTCCATCCATCCTGCCCGTCTCTCTCCTCCATCCATCCTGCCGTTCTCTCCATCCATCCTGCCGTTCTCTCCATCCAACCTGCCCATTTCTCTCCATCCAACCTGCCCGTCTCTCTCCATCCAACCTGCCCGTCACTCTCCTCCATCCATCCATCCTGCCCATCTCTCTGCATCCATCCTGCCAGTCTCCCTGCATCCATCCAACCTGCCCATCTCTATTCTCTATTCATCCTGCCCGTCTCTCTCCTTCATCCAACCTGCCTGTGTCTCTCCTCCATCCAACCTGCCCGTCTCTCTCCTCCATCCAACCTGCCCGTCTCTCTCCTCCATCCAACCTGCCCGTCTCTCTCCTCCATCCAACCTGCCCGTCTCTCCTCCATCCATCCTGCCTGTATCTCTCTCCTCCATCCATCCTGCCCGTCTTTTCAACATCCATCCTTTCCATCTCTCTCCTCCATCCATCCTGCCCGTCTGTCTCCATGTCCTTCTCTCCTTCCAGGGCTGGACAGGAGACGGAGACCAGTCCTTTCCCTGCCCAGCCTTGCGGAGTGCTGGTAGGTTTTAGGTCTGGGGCAGGTGTTAGCAGGGGGTCCATTGTGTCTTACCCTAGACCTGCTTTACGTTGTTCCACTGATCCTACTGTGAAGAAGCAAGCGTTCGTACGTTGGGACCGGTGTTCGGGAAGTCGAGTGTCCGATTTTAGTTCCAGACACTCGACGACCAAGTCCCGCTGCCTTTGTTCGCGCAAACAAGATGGCCACACAGGGAGAGGGCTTAAATGATGGTTCGCTTTGAAGTTAATGAGCCGGGGAGGGTCATCTCTGTTCGGTAGTTTCACCTACCGAATGAAATAAAGTAAAATAGACTAATCACTTTGTGATTTCTTCACAACCCCTTGCATGGGGAGTTGCATAAAAGCCAGCTGTGGCTGAATAAAAATCAGTTGACTCCCAGAACTGTGTGTCATCCAGTTACTGGAGGGATTTTGCCTTGCTTCCTCAGCTACAAGCAGTCTACAGCAGAGATATTGATGCTGAATATTTGAGTTCCGCTAGAAGTGGTCTTTGGCTGAGGTACCCAGCCAGGGATACATGGAGCTCCGTTACATTGGTTGGCAGCGGTGGGATTGCTTCCTAGCCGTGGGAAAACCAGCACTACTTCAGAGGAAGGATTGGCAAGGAATTCGGGAGAATGGGGCGAGCTAGCCCCTGGGCAGCGCTTACATCCAAGGAAAAGAGTGACCCGGAATGGAGGGATGTAGCCCAGAAAAACTATTGTACAATGCCCTGGAGGAAGCTCCGTTTTAGTGGAAGGAGAGCCTTCTTGGTGTAGTGTACCACTTGCAGGAATAAGTGGCCTGGCGGATGGTGCTTCTGGGGGAACAACCTGTGACGTAGCAGGTAAGGCAGCTTGAGTCCCTAGTAGAAAGGGAACTGATCCTGGGCGACTCATACCGGGCGCTGTGGTGGTCCAGAGACTTTGACGGCAGAGGGCGTTCAGCCGGAGGGGGAGAACTACAGTAGCCCTGGCCTGTTGTGGAAGGCCTTTCAGAAGGACGACGACTTAGGCAGTCTGGCAGAGTCGCGGTTCTCGGCTATTTATTATTACCGGGAAGCGATGCTACAGGGCCCAGGAGCTATTAAGCTGGGACAAGACCTCATCCGTCTATTTGCCATGGAGCGGGAACTGGAAATGGATTATGTAGAAATGCTAGACTCTGTTCAGCCACAGGATGTTTACGCAGAGCTGGGTGGCTGTCCCGGACCTGCCACACTCCAGGTGGGGAGACCTGGCTACTGCACCCCCTGTTTCACTACCAGCTCAAGAAACAGGGGACCCTACAGACTGATCCTGGGAAGAACCCCAGTTTGCAGGGGGAGATGGGACCGAGGTCTCTCCACCGGCCCTGCAGGAATGGTGGGAAGCCTGTCTAGATCCTCAACAGCTGTGTACGCTACAGAGGGAAGAGACAACAGGTCTCTCTCCGCAGCCCCAGCTGGAAACGGTCGGTTCCACTCTGCTGTGCTGGTCAACCAGGGACCTCCTACCCTGGTCCTGGGAGGACATCCAATTGGCCAGGCACATGGTACCGAGGTCTCTGCCCCAGCTCTACAGGGATGCTGGGCAACCTGCCCAGATCCCCAACCACAGATGGAGATGTCAGAAGAATAGACGGTCTGCCTCTCTCCCCAGCGGCAGACAGAGTTACAGGGAGAGAAGTGGGAGGGGAAAAGGCTATTCTTTAAGCGCTGTTCCAGTGTGGAGGATTCAACTGGGAAAGTCCTTGTAATGACTAGAGCTCCCAGGACTGAGTGTCGTTCAGTGCCAATTTCCCATTCGGCTCCAGGACCCCAGTCAAGCCACTGTTGGCAGAAGTGCTGCGGTTTGTCCCCTGTTCCAGCTAGGAAGCGGTGAAGGACCCAGCCAGGGGGTATAGGGAGCTCCGTTACACATACACCTTGGATAAGGTCTTCCCTGTTTCTGTGCAGAGAGTGAAGCTGGGAAGACCATAGAGACATGTTTACAAACCATGTCTGACACAAGGTGTATGTATATGGCTAAGAATCTACAGTTTTTCTAATTTATGAACACATATGTGATTAAATATCATCTATTTGCTTTCAATACTTGATGAAAGTATTATTATACATAATATAGTTTAGAGATGACATATCTATAACATGTTCAGAGCCATCAGCCTGGCTCCCTCACTGCTAACGCTGCGCCCAGCATGCATCCGGTAAAGAGATGGAACCAAACACGTGTTGATTCCTGTAACAAGTCTGTATTCATACTCCCCCCCCCTTAACAATAATCACACAAACTAAATTCAGAGTATTGTATACAGACACTCACATTTATTGGAGCCATTAACCCAGTCAGTACCAGTAACAAGGCTCCCATTAACCCATTCCATACCGGTAATGAGACTCCCATTAACCCATTCCATACCGGTAACGAGGCCCCTATTAACCCATTCCATACCGGTAACGAGGCCCCTATTAACCCATTCCATACCGGTAACGAGGCCCCTATTAACCCATTCCATACCGGTAACGAGGCTCACATTAACCCATTCCATACCGGTAACGAGGCCCCTATTAACCCATTCCATACCGGTAATGAGGCTCACATTAACCCATTCCATACCGGTAACGAGGCTCCCATTAACCCATTCCATACCGGTAACGAGGCTCCCATTAACCCATTCCATACCGGTAGCGAGACTCCCATTAACCCATTCCATACCGGTAATGAGGCTCCCATTAACCCATTCCATACCGGTAACGAGGCTCCCATTAACCCATTCCATACCGGTAATGAGGCTCCCATTAACCCATTCCATACCGGTAACGAGGCCCCTATTAACCCATTCCATACCGGTAACGAGGCTCCCATTAACCCATTCCATACCGGTAACGAAGGCTCCCATTAACCCATTCCATACCGGTAACGAGGCTCCCATTAACCCATTCCATACCGGTAACGAGGCTCCCATTAACCCATTCCATACCGGTAACGAGGCTCCCATTAACCCATTCCATACCGGTAACGAGGCTCCCATTAACCCATTCCATACCGGTAATGAGGCTCACATTAACCCATTCCATACCGGTAACGAGGCCCCTATTAACCCATTCCATACCGGTAACGAGGCTCACATTAACCCATTCCATACCGGTAACGAGGCTCCCATTAACCCATTCCATACCGGTAACGAGGCTCACATTAACCCATTCCATACCGGTAACGAGGCTTTAACCCATTCCATACCGGTAACGAGGCTCCCATTAACCCATTCCATACCGGTAACGAGGCTCCCATTAACCCATTCCATACCGGTAACGAGGCTCCCATTAACCCATTCCATACCGGTAACGAGGCTCCCATTCCATACCGGTAACGAGGCTCCCATTAACCCATTCCATACCGGTAACGAAGCTCCCATTAACCCATTCCATACCGGTAACGAGGCTCCCATTAACCCATTCCATACCGGTAACGAGGCTCCCATTAACCCATTCCATACCGGTAACGAAGCTCCCATTAACCCATTCCATACCGGTAACGAAGCTCCCATTAACCCATTCCATACCGGTAACGAAGCTCCCATTAACCCATTGTATGCCAGGTTTTTAGACTGTGGCTGCTAGACAGGGTGTGAGGATCCCCAGTGACAGTTCATTATAATTTATATTATTCTCTGTCCAATCTGCATGACATCTGCCGTCCGGCTCTGGTATTACATTCATTATAACACAGAGCAATCGGGCTGGTGGGCGGAGAGTGGCTCCATGTTGGGCCCCAGGAAGTGACTTAAACATGGGTAAGGGGCCCCCAGGAGCCTTTATATTAGCTATAATACACTGCACACAGTATCACGCACACGTACTGTATCACTCACACTCTGTATCACACACACTCTGTATCACTCACACTCTGTATCTCACACTCTGTATCACACACACACTCTGTATCACACACACGCACTGTATCACACACACTCTGTATCACACACGCACTCTGTATCACACACACGCACTGTATCACACACACGCACTGTATCACACACGCACTGTATCACACACGCACTGTATCACTCACACTTTGTATCACTCACACTCTGTTTCACTCACACTCTGTATCACTCACACTCTGTATCACTCACTGTGACAGATCCATCTGTATAGACTGGGATTGCTGGTTCGTCTGCTTTGCCTTTGTCGTGGAATTACCTGTTCGTATGCCCCTGTTCGTTTATTTGACTTTTCTGCCGAACAAAACTACCGAACGGACGGCCACCCAGAAGTGGAGTGTGCTGCTGGTTAACCTCTTGATCCCAATTAGAACATTGTGGTTAACCGCAGACACCTCTCAATTAAAACCGAATGCAGGGTGGTCGTCTTTCGTATGTCGACCACGAGGCGGCGGCCATTTTAAACAGGCGAAAGACCAGCGGTGTTCGGCCCAGATTCTATGGAACTGAAAACGGACACTTTTTCCACCGAACAACGCTGAAGCCACCGACCTCCCGACAAAAGTGTACGAACACTGGCCGTTCGGGAGTTTGAAACGCAGGAATGGACTTAACCCAGATAGCCCTCCCATGGAGTCAATCGCATACCGAAAGACTGTAATAGACTTTGAATCCATGGCGATTGAACTATGCGTATGGGATCTGAGCGCTATTCGCTAATCATATGCACTCAGATCCAGGCTATCTGGGGATGTGTTACACGAATGAGCAATGTTCGGCAATTGCAAAGTTATGTATTTTTATGTGTTTTTTGTGCTGTATTTAAAATGGCGATTTGCCTCTGTCCTGGGAGATAATTGAATTACTTCTCAATTATCTCCAGGGCAGAGGGGAGGAAACCATGATGCATGCTGGGAATATTATGTGCCTGTATGTCCTAACATGCCATATGTCTGTCTGCCATTACAGTCTCCCATTTGGTCCCCTAGGGGAGTGTACACCAAGTGGGAGACCTGCATAAATACGGGCGGGTAGCCCACAGTAAACCCAGTTCATGTTTTACCCTCAATGCGGAGCTCGGTCTCGTTATTGGAGGGGAATTTACTACACGAATAGCGACTGCCGGATGGAATTATTGGCCGCTTGGGAGTTATATGGTTTCGGCTGTTAGCGGCGATTCGTGAGTTACTGACTGGGAAGTGAAGTACCCGTACGGGTCCCGTTCGGGAGATTGGAGTATTCCCCTGCTTGCGGTTCGTATGATTGGAGTTAGTACGAATGCAGCTTGCATTATGGTGAGAAGGGAGGATAAACTAAACGGCGGTTTTGACTATTTGATGCCGAGGGTGCCGTTACACTCGCACACTGTATCACTCACGCACACTGTATCACTCACACTGTATCACACACACTTTGTATCACACACACTCTGTATCTCACACACTCTGTGTGGCAAACCTAGCCACTTGGACAATACAGAGTGTGACGAGACCAATCTCGCCACATTGCATTGGAGAAGCCTGGTTGCTCGCCTGCTGCCTTTGGACTATGGGCCCCATGTTAAAAGACTTTGTTTCGCCTGCAGAAAAGCTTTATTCGTGCTTTTCTGCCTGGTGTTCGGTAGATTCAATCTACCGAACAACCGCACGAATGACTGGACCACCTGGGAGCTGGAGTGTGCCGGCAATTAGCCTCCCTAAAGCTGCGGTTAACCGCAGCTTAATTGACGAATGCTGGGTGGCCGCCATTCGTATCACGAACACGAGGTCGCGGCCATTTTGAACATGCGAATGCACAGCGGTGTTCGACGCTTAATTCATGGAACTGAAATCGGACACAGTTTTGCGCGAACACCGCTGAAGCCGCCAACCTCCCTTCTTGGTCGGGGAAAGTGCACAAACGGCCCGGCGTTCGGTAGTTTTACTGGAATATGTTATACCCCAGATAGGAATCCCATGGAGCCCATTCGCATGAAACTGACTGTGTAAAGACTTTAGCTCCATGGCGATTAAACTGTATTCGTGTGGTCTGAGCGCCATTCGCTTAATAATGTGCGCTCAGACCTGAGCTATCTGGGGATATGTTAAATGTATGTTTTTAATGTTATGTGTCTCACATGGTGTATTTTAATAGTAATTTGTGTGTTAGTATCCCCACGTGCATAATGGCGATTTGCCTTTGTCTTGGGAGATAATTGAATTACTTCTCAATTATCTCCAAGGCAGAGGGGAGGAAGCCAGGATGCATTGTGGGAATAGAATGTGACTGTGTGTCCTGTTTGGCTGATTGTCTGTCTTTTGTCACAGTCTCCCATTTGGTCCCCTAGGGGCGTGTCCAACAGGTGGGAGACCTGCATAAATACTGGGCAGGTAGCCCTCATTAAACAGACCACTGCTTGACCCTCAACACGGAGCTTTGTCTCGTCTTTGGGGGGGATTTACTGAATGCTGATAGAGACTGATAGCTAGGAGTGTAAGCCGCTTGGATGCTTTTCCTATTCGTCTGCTAGCAGTGATTCGTATGGTTCCTGTTCGTGTGTTTGGAGTGCTATATTGGATGCCGTTCGGGAGTTTGGAGCATTCACTTATTGGCGGTTCGTGTGTTTGGTGTTCTACAATAGCTGTGCCTGAATCTCTGGAAAGGGGGATGATCGCCTAAACGGTTTTTACCCCTGTGCAAAACGGTCCGTTACACAGTGAGACTATGGCTTTAAGGGTTGCCTGAGCTGTTTGAGGATGCGTGTGTTTCTGTGTATATAGACTGTGATTGTGTAACACTGTATTGCTTGCATTGGCTATCTGCCGAAAGCAGCTGATTTCCTTTCGTTTCACGAACAGCGCTTTTGCGGGCCGTTCGTGAACTGAATAAGGCCCACACATTGAGAGACGTGTGGTGCTCGTTAACCGATTGCAACAATGTTGCAATCGGTAATTAGAGGCTCTCCTAGGTGGCCGTCGTTCGACTACCGACCATGCGGCGGTCGGCCATCTTGGATCCTTTGTTCCTCCAGCGGTGTTTGGTCATCGAGCGCGTGGTACTAAAAACGGCTACTCGACGGCACGAACACCGCTGGACTTCCAGGCCGTTCGGGAGTTCCAGGCCGTTCGGTATTTTATTCCCCATATATCAATCGGTCTTTTAAATGTGTGTTTTGATGAATGTTTTTCGTGCGGCGTTCGGTTGTTTTAGCTGAGATCTGAGCGGTAATCTCACGAATGATGCGCGCAGAGCCCAGCTATCTACCGAACGTCCATTCGTGCAAATAGACCTCATATTCGAAAAACTGTATATTTTAAAGTAAATTGCCGGTTCTGCTGCACGGAGGGATAATCCACTTAACGGTACATTCCAGTGGGAGGATCCCTCTCGTGCAGCAGTGCCCGATGGGGGAAATGCTCTGTAATGTAAGTTCCCCACGTAGTCCACCCCTGGAATACCCCTGGGATAGGACTCAGGCAACCCCTTGCATGGGGAATTGTATAAATTGTGGAACCTGTGAATAAAGCCTCAGTTGACTCTCAGAACTGTGTTTTGTCCGGTTACTGGGAAATTTGGGATATTGCCTTGCTTTTCAGCGCTTGACTGTGGATTACCTTCTGAACCAGCGGAGATCGTGGGATTTATTATTGCCACTCCGCTACACTCTGTATCACACACACTCTGTATCACTCACGCACACTGTATCTCACACACTCTGTATAGCACTGTTCAATATTACACGCTGCTCTCTGTATTGCGCCCTCAGCTCGGTATTACACGCTGCACTCTGTATTGCGCACTCAACTCGGTATTACACGCTGTGGCAAACCAAGCCAGATTATGTTATTATATGTCTACAGGTTGTCCTAGAAAAGCTGGTCCAATTCTGTTAGTTTATGTATTCGTCTATACCTGTAATAAAGAACATTCGTTTGCTAACGGCCGAGAGCCGCTAGCATTCATATGGTAGTTTCACGAACAGTGACTTTCCACACTGTTCGTGAAACGAATAAAGTACCGAATGGGAGCCCACACACAGAGGGTTGTGTGGCTCCCATTAACCGATTGCAAAATTGATTGCTCGGGTGGCCGTCGTTCGGCTACCGACCACGAGGTGGCGGCCATCTTGGATTTCCCTTTTGCCCAGCGGTGTTTGGTCGTCAAGTGCCTGGAACTAAAATCGGCTACTCGACGGCATGAACACCGCTGGACTTCCAAGCCGTTCGGGAGCGCCGGTCTTTCAGTACTTTTTCCCCAATTGTGTATTCGTGAATTTTATGATGAATGTGTATTAAAGTGTGTTTCGAGCGGCGTTCAGTTATTTATGCTGGGATCTGAGCGGTACTTTCACAAAGTGTGCGCTCAGACCCCAGCTATCTGCCGAACGGTCATTCGGTACAATAGCACAAATAAAATATAAGTTACTGACTTTTGTGTGAAAAGCCAGTTCTGCTGTACGGAGGGATAATCCACTTAACAGGATATTCTCGTGGGAGTATCCCAAGTGCATGGTGGGAGAAATGCCCTGCATATTCAGTTCCCCATGTAGTCCCCTACTGTACAACCCCTGTAAAGTAATTAAGGAAACCCCTTGCATGGGGAATCACATAAATACTGGAGCTTGTGAATAAAATCGTCGGTTGACTCCCAGAACTGTGTTTCGTCCAGTTACTGGGGGGATTTGGGATATTGTCTTCATTTTCAGCGCTTTACTTGGATTACTTTCTGTACCAGGGAGATATTGGGATTTAATATTGCAGCTCCGCTACACACGCTGCTCTCTGTATTGCGCACTCAGCTCGGTATTACACGCTGCTTTCTGTATTGCGCACTCAGCTCGGTATTACACGCTGCTCTCTGTATTGCGCACTCAGCTCGGTATTACACGCTGCTCTCTGTATTGCGTACTCAGCTCGGTATTACACGCTGCTCTCTGTATTACCACTCAGCTCTGTATTACACGCTGTGGCACTTGCTGGGTTTGGGGTTATTTATTGTGATATATAATAATCACTTTTCTCCCCAGGAGTGAGCAGTGCCAATGAGCAGAGAAATCCAGAAATACGTGAAATCCCAGAAGCACTTGGTGAAACAGAATGTGATCTTTATTGCGGAATCGGACGCTCGGCTTCGGGCGGAGCACGTTCACTGTGAGCGTCATGCCCTAGAACCAGCACCGGAGCAGGTACGTCTGATTCACGTACTTTTATATAGCGCCACCATATTCTGCAGCGCTGTACAATATTAATGTTAAATTGTAACAGCGAATATGAGACAAAATCCTGGAAATGTTACCGGGAGCGAGATTGATGCCGGCACTGCTCAAACAAGCTTACAATCTTATAGGGTAATGAGAGATTGTGTTTACTGAGGTGACTTCCTACCAATTTCTCAATAAATAAAGATTGCTGGAAGGGCATGGAGCACGGCGCAGCCATTCTATGTGGAATTCCCTTCCTGTTTGGAGCCTGCTCTCTGTCTGTATGGCGCTCGCTGTATGGAGCCTGCTATCTGTCTGTATGGTGCTCGCTGTATGGAGCCTGCTCTCTGTCTGTATGGCGCTCGCTGTATGGAGTCTGCTCTCTGTCTGTATGGTGCTCGGTGTATGGAGCCTGCTCTCTGTCTGTATGGCGCTCGGTGTATGGAGCCGGCTCTCTGTCTGTATGGTGCTCGGTGTATGGAGCCTGCTCTGTCTGTATGGCGCTTGGTTTATGGAGCCTGCTCTCTGTCTGTATGGTGCTCGCTGTATGGAGTCTGCTCTCTGTCTGTATGGTGCTCAGTGTATGGAGTCTGCTCTATGTCTGTATGGCGCTCGGTGTATGGAGCCTGCTCTCTGTCTGTATGGTGCTTGGTGTATGGAGCCTGCTCTCTGTCTGTATGGTGCTCGGTGTATGGAGCCTGCTCTCTGTCTGTATGGTGCTCAGTGTATGGAGTCTGCTCTATGTCTGTATGGCGCTCGGTGTATGGAGCCTGCTCTCTGTCTGTATGGCGCTCGCTGTATGGAGTCTGCTCTCTGTCTGTATGGTGCTCGGTGTATGGAGCCTGCTCTCTGTCTGTATGGCGCTCGGTGTATGGAGCCGGCTCTCTGTCTGTATGGTGCTCGGTGTATGGAGCCTGCTCTGTCTGTATGGCGCTTGGTTTATGGAGCCTGCTCTCTGTCTGTATGGTGCTCGCTGTATGGAGTCTGCTCTCTGTCTGTATGGTGCTCGCTGTATGGAGTCTGCTCTCTGTCTGTATGGTGCTCAGTGTATGGAGTCTGCTCTCTGTCTGTATGGCGCTCAGTGTATGTAGCCTGCTCTCTGTCTGTATGGTGCTCGGTGTATGGAGCCTGCTCTCTGTCTGTATGGTGCTCGGTGTAGGGAGTCTGCTCTCTGTCTGTATGGAGCTCGGTGTATGGAGTCTGCTCCCTGTCTGTATGGTGCTCGGTGTATGGAGCCGGCTCTTTGTCTGTATGGTGCTCGGTGTATGGAGCCTGCTCTCTGTCTGTATGGCGCTCGCTGTATGAAGCCTGCTCTCTGTCTGTATGGCGCTCGGTGTATGGAGCCTTCTCTCTGTCTATATGGCGCTCGGTGTATGGAGTCTGCTTCCTGTCTGTATGTTGCTCGGTGTATGGAGCCTGCTCTTTGTCTGTATGGTGCTCGGTATATGGAGCCTGCTCTCTGTCTGTATGGCACTCAGTGTATGGAGCCTGCTCTGTCTATATGGTGCTCGGTGTATGGACTCTGCTCTCTGTCTGTATGGCGCTCGATGTATGGAGCCTGCTCTCTGTCTATATGGCGCTCGGTGTATGGAGCTTGCTCTCTGTCTGTATGGTGCTCGGTGTATGAAGTCTGCTCCCAGTCTGTATGGCGCTCGATGTATGGAGTCTGCTCCCTGTCTGTATGGCGCTCGATGTATGGAGTCTGCTCCCTGTCTGTATGGTGCTCGCTGTATGGAGTCTGCTCTCTGTATGGCGCTCGGTGTATGAAGCCTGCTCTCTGTCTGTATGGCGCTCGGTGTATGGAGCCTGCTCTGTCTGTATGGTGCTCGCTGTATGGAGTCTGCTCTCTGTATGGCGCTCGGTGTATGGAGCCTGCTCCCTGTCTGTATGGTGCTCGCTGTATGGAGTCTGCTATCTGTATGGCGCTCGGTGTATGGAGCCGGCTCTCTGTCTGTATGGCGCTCGGTGTATGGAGCCTGCTCTCTGTCTGTATGGCACTTAGTGTATGGAGCCTGCTCTCTATCTGTATGGCGCTCACTGAATGGAGCCTGCTCTCTGTCTGTATGGCGCTCAGTGTATGGAGCCTGCTCTCTGTCTGTATGGCACTCAGTGTATGGAGCCTGCTCTCTATCTGTATGGCGCTCACTGTATGGAGCCTGCTCTCTGGCTGTATGGCGCTCGCTGTATGGAGCCTGCTCTCTGGCTACATGGAACCTGCTTTCTGTGTGTGTGTGTGTGTGTGTGTGTATGGCGCTTGCTGTATAACGTTGGTAGCTGTTCTCAATGCTCAGTCTCTCCCCTATTTTTGTTCCATATTGTGAAGAAGGCACCGGACACGGAGTCTGACCCCATCTTAGATCGAGGTATTGTACAAGGTGCGTCAGAGAAGATCCAGGATCCACGCTTGCTCAGTGAGTAACTGAATTAATGTGTCGTCACATCTCGTCTAAACAAACGAGACAATCGTCAGTGAGACATCGAAATATAAATTAGAGCTTTAGATATTATAGACAAACTGTAAACTTGTAACTTATCTCCTTAAGGGCGGAGTCAAATGTTGTGATCAAAACAAAACCTAGAATTTGCGCTATAAGTCTGTAGAACTATAATTCACTCTTTCATATTAAGTGCACCTCACCACTTATTATATTACATTTTGTTCATGAGAAACAAGGCTTTCCTTTCACATCACGTATTTGTATATCAAATATAATTAATATGAACAAATTCTAATAAGGTGTGAGAAATTAAGAAATGTATTTATGACATTTTAGCTGTGAATGTCATAATACTGTTAGCTTTTACTCCAATTAAATACACGTATTTGTGTTCAGCGATGTCTCACGAGTACACTACCCCCAATGTAAAGGTTTTATGGGGTTTTGGAAACTTATTGGGTCAAATATAAGGCTTGTCCATTTACGGTATTATACATTAAAATTAGCAATATTGGTTTGTTGGCCCTTTGTTGCCTTTGAGAACGTTTGACAGCCCCCAGGAATGAGAGTTACCACCCATAAAGGCATACCATTTGCAAAAGTATACAACCCAAGGTATTCAAAATGGGGGTATGTCCAGTCTTTTTTAGTAGCCACACAAACTCTGTCTAAAGTTAGCATTCATGTTTATTATTTTGAATTTTTCACAAAAAATGCCTTTTCACCAATTATATCTTCAGCATTATAAGTTTTACTGCTCTAAAGCACTCATATTTGTGTTCAGCGATGTCTCATGAGCACAACAGCACTCCTATGTCCAGGTTTTATGGTGTTTTGGTAAGTTACAGGGTCAAATATAGAGCTTGCCATTTCAGTTGTTGCACATTGAAATGTGTCTCCCAAATATAACAGTGCCCCCAGGTACCATTATTTTTGATAATGTTTTTTTTTTTTTGGTAAGTGAAAACTACCCCCATTGTGATGGAGACCCTTACATTATAAATGTGTTGTTATTGGTTTGGAAGTTTGTGTCCCTGTCCCCAACAAGGTCCATGTGGGCTTGGGGACTTGCATATTGGAGAGAAAGAACTTCTGTGTCTGCTGTTCCAGCTTGCAGGAGATTTAACGGGGAAAGCCCTTGTAAGGATTAGAGCTCCCAGGACTGAGTGTCGTCCAGTGCCTGGGGGTGTCCAGGGCCCCAGTCAAGCCACAGCGACTGAGGGCAAGAGTGCTGAGGTTTGTCCCCTATTAGAGCTAGGAAGCGGTCCTTGGCAGAGGTACCCAGCCAGGGGTACAGGGAGCTCTGTCACACCCATGATGGCACATCATTTTTTAATAGTAGGCAACCCAGAATATTCCAAATTGAGCAATTTGAGATGTTTGGTCTAGCCACTTTAACAGAAATGCTGTCCCTATGTAACGATTTATACTTTTATTTGTGTTTTTTCACACACATGACTTCACACAATTTTACAGGAAATGTGATCATTCTGATATGATTAAGTGCAATAAAACCTCAGTATTATGATTTGGCATTGTCTCCTGAATATAATAGTACCCCCATGTACTGGTTTTGCAGGTTTGTATCATTACTATATTTCATTATATCACATGAATATAACATTATCCCCTGTCCCATTCTTCACCTCACTATTATCTGAGGAGAGAGAGAGATACTGCATTAACCCAATTATCTCTGATAGTTACTGTGTGAAAACTTTTAAAAAGGCAGTTTTTATTAACCCTTTCAGAGCCGATCACAGCATTAACCCTGTGGTTAGAGTTTTTTGGTAAGCCATATGGTGGAATATATTAGATGCCCTTTTCAACTTGTAAAATTGATAAAGTGATTTTCTGTTGTCTCTGAGAGAGCATTGCCCCCCGAATGGCATACCACTTTAACAAGTACAGAGTTGTTTGGTGTAGCCACTTTAGAATGGGGTGCCACATTTTCTTTCTGTTCTAATGGGACCCCGGATGTGCAGAGAGATACTGTCTGGCAAACAAATTATCAGCTCAAATATGTCGTCCGACTTAAAGATTGGCTCACAGTGGTACACTGTAACTTGATGCCAGGTGTAGCAGTGAATGCGGGTATGTCCGTTTTCCCCTGGCACTTGGCTTCCTAAACACCCTCTCGTAGATGGGGGGGGTGGGAGGGGAGGGCATTATCACGTGAGGACTCACTCATGGGCTCAGTGTCAGAGACAGTGATAGTGTCAGAGGCAGTGATAGTGTCGCTGTCACTGTCTGCCAGAATGACGAACGCTTCCTCCACGGTATAGCAACTTGCCATTCTAGGGGGATTCATTCTAAAAACTAAGGCGCTAATATATTTTATTTCCTACCCACACAGCCATCCACAAAAACCCAAACCCCCAAAAACAATTCAATCAAAGTACGAATCTCAGTTTAAACAGCTGCGACCTGTACTTAAAGGGTTCTTGTAACAAAGAGGACAGCTTAACCGGCATATGGAGACTGTGGATTACTATTCAGTTCTGGACATTGGAAGCATTCACCATACGAATGCTTGCTACCAAATAACAGGCCACCTTGATTCCTAATTATGACCCATTTACCTCCCTGCTCTATAGGGATTTTCGTACAAAGAAACGCACGAACGCTATACGAACTGTATGGGTGGCCGCCATTTCGGGACTTCCACGTGTTCACGGCCATTTTAACTCCCAAACAGCGGTGTTTTGCCGTCGAGTGTCTGGAACTAAAATCGGACACTCGAATAGGCGAACACCGCTGAGACCTCCATAACTTCGGGAAATCGGTAGTTCAGTAGAAAGACTTAACAGCTTTTGGGGATTCCAGCGAACATGAGATTATATACGGATGGCTAGCCGTTCGGGACTTTTTACGCACAAACTAAGACCGACTGCAGGGCCAGGATTCATGGAACTGCTTTCGGCTATTTTGCCAGTGCGGTCAGTCAAAACTTTCAAGCCCCATATCTCCCGAACGGCTGAATTTTGGATATATTGGCCCACCAGAACAGAGCTATCTGGGGACATCGGATTTATGCCTGTACCCCAAGTATTTGGGGTACATCCAAACTTTGGGGAAAAATATGTTCATTTTAATTATGTTATGTGGTTATCTAAGGGGAGGAGATGTACAGGATGTATATTGTGTTTATTGGCTGTACTGTTAATTATGTGGGTGTCTCCCTTGCATGGGCAGAATCACATAAAAGAGAGTGTCTGTCATTAAAGCTTTAGTTCTTCTTGACCATTCAAAACGTAGCCCCGTCTCGTTCTTGAAAGGGGAATTTTGCAGCATAATCACTAAGCTCTTTTCAGAGCTGTACCTGACTTCTACCTTGGATCCAGCAGAGGGGAATAAGCAGCTCCATCACTACACAGCGATTTGCCGGGAAGAAAAGGATGTCCCCAACGGCTGATACCCTCACTCCAGCTGGGTAGCCGTTACAGTTATTTTTTATTTCTTTATAAAAATAACCCAAAATAAAATGTCAGCCTGGTCAGAAAGCCCTCAGATCACAGTGATCACTGATACGGTACTGTACAGCAGAGATGGGTTACAGTACAGTGATCACACAGCAGGGATGGGGTTAAAAAAGATTCAAATTGCTGCAGCTGATCAAAAGGTTAAAAAAAAGTTGTTGTTTTTTTTATCCTAAAAGAAAATTAAGAATATAGAAAAGTACTCCATAACCTAATCAGGCTGATCACAGGGTTAATGCTGTGATCAGAATCAAAGGGTTAAAAAAAATCGCAAAAAAGCAAATTCCTTTAAAAATATACCGCCTCCACATAATCAGGTGAAACCTGCTCTGCATTACTAGGGGGAGGCGTAGAGCCACTGACTCGGAGGGGGCCGTCTTTCAACCCCCACTAAATTTTTGGGTCTACACCTAGCCAGTCACAGCCGTTGACAACCAGGCGCATTGAACATAGACCGATCGAACGACCCAATTCCCGCACACACGTCAGAACGACTCCTCCCCTTTGACATCTTATAGGCACTTAAACACCAAACAGACAAGACTGAACCTGCCCTGACGGTATGGGCGTCCAACGTTCCCCGATGGGACTAACAGACGCAGTATACCCTCTCTGTGGAACTGCCATAGCAAGGAACACAGCCCGCTATCCGAGGCACACTGAGCTCAATAACCTGACACATTATCTGGTTCAGAGATGTCATGCTTGTTATTGTGTATATTTCTCAATTATCTCGGCTAGGATTGGAATGATGATACACAAAATACAGATAAAGATTGTCAAAGGGAAGGGAAAAGGAAAAAAGAATAATATATGCATACTCTAGGCCCTGGTTCACCACACCGTGATATGCCATCACTCACATATGTTAGTGTAGATATGTTTGTGCTAACGCTTACCTCCTGGACCGACTTTTCTAATTATTATTTTATTCTTTATATAGCGCCCTCAGATTCCATAGCGCTGTACAATGGATGGACTAACAGACATGTAATTGTAACCAGACAACTGGACGTACAGGACCAGAGAGAGATATCAGCCCGTCCTTACGAGCACGTTGTCTTGGTGTTACCGTTGAAGCATCGAGAAGCATTACACAAGATGCTACTAAAGAGCTTGTCCATGCTCTAGTAATCTCTCCTAATTGATCTTCCCAATAGCCGTATTGCCCCGCTACAGTCTGTAATGGTGGATTGAATGAATCTCAAATAATGAGAGAGAAAGAGAAGGGCTGTGGGTAGAGGTTTGAAGGAGCAGCGAGGTGAGAGCAGAAACCCTACACCACCACCTTTATTTTCAGAGTTTCTTGGGTTGTGGGTAAGTTGAAGACCAGAGGGAGCGAGCCATGTTTCGGTTAATGATGGTAATTGTAGGGAACGAGAGATGAAAAGATCATGCACAGCTGTGGATTTAGTAACACTGCAAACAGAGTGTGCATACCAGAGGGCAGTATTGAAGGAGGATAATACCTGATGTGACGAAGTGCCCTTCGCCACTCGTGCCTGGAGAGGACTGCTTGCCCGCCCCTGGGATGTATTGCCCTTTAAAGACATGATTTGGGCATAATGGATTTGTGTTGTGCTGCTGCTGGCCCTTTAAGAACCATCTGGGGACATACTGTGGAGTTACTGGGTGGCCACCATTTCCTGTATCAGAAGCACATGGTGAGAACAATGGATGGCGGCCATTTTAACTCACAGACACTGTTTGGACTTTTCAACACGGTGCCATCTCGCCAGTATTTGGTGCACAGAGACATCGTGCAGTGGTTTTGGACTATACAGCAGGGGACACATTATAAAGTGATTGTTTTTCATTTAGCCTGTATATGTTCTGCAGAATCTGCATTAAACTGTATTTTCCAAAGTACTGAACGGATCTGGGTGAATTTTGGATATGTGGTTCACCCAGATCCCCCGGTTCCAAGGATATACTTTTTATGGGGTTATTGCATGTTTTGGGGTCCCTGTGTGTTTTATGAAACTGTATTATTTCTGGCCAGCAGATAATTGAGCTTTGTGTATTGTAGAAACTCAATTATCTAGCCTGGCCCAGAGGAGGAGTTTTGTGTTGCATAAATTGTGAGTTCTGTGTGCCAGTAAATCAGTCTTGTTCCAGCATTAAGCCTTGGCTCATGTTTGGGGGAAGGGATACCTACACTCTGGGGATTGCTATAATCACTTACTCCCCAGAGGAAGCTCTTGCAATAGCTTGATTTGTTCCTGTTCCTGCTCTCTGGGGAAAGAGAGGTTCACCCACTGGAAACTGGATCCTGGCCTTGGGTCCAGGGTGGGTGGAAACAGCAGAGACCCCGGCGCAGTTACATCACTGGAAGTGGGATCTGCAGTGCTGATGGTGTGGGTTGGAGTGCTTGGAGTCCTCAGCGAGCAGTAGGAGCATCGATTGGCGGAGGTACTCAGTCGGAGTGCCAGCGTTCCGTCACACCTGAAATACAGTTTTCTGTTCAGTATAGACCGGTTAACCTAACTAGTTTAACTTTATCTTTACTTCTATTCTGTAACTCACAAAAAGGAGGTATGTTTAGCCAATGTATATTTCTGCACGAGGTAGAATTCTCTTTTATGCCTCGTTACATTAATTCACTGTACTCTTGCATTTACAACAATAAAAAAACAGATTGACAAAAAAAACACAATTCCTTTTAAAAACATTTTTACATAGTAAGTCCGTGATCTCTTTGCCCTCTCCCTCAGATCAAGGTAGGGGCAGAGAGAATGTGTCAGCTAATGTTACAAATCATTGGCTGACACGTTGTAATAGTGATCGCACTGATATCACATGCTGCAGATTGCCAGGCAGGTCCCCCCACCAAGATCTGCAGCAGGCCAAAGGCGGCACACACTGGCGTTTAGGACTGGCTCTTTAAAGACGGCATAGCATGCCCACTGTCCTTAAGGGGTTAAAGGAAGATAAATAAAATATTGCAATTGTGCACACACGTCTTTTTATTTTTTTTAGGTATCCCTGAAATTCAGAGAGTTTAATAAGTAATAGGATGTGGGGATATGGTGGACTATTTGCCATGATGCTGTGGGTTTGATAAAACGAGGCACTCCTCGAGTGATTAAATACTTTGTTTCGCAGGTCGTCCAGTGGTTATACTGCAGAGGTTAAAGATCAGTCCAAGGGATCACAATCACAAGACGTCACATAGCGAGAAGATCAAAAAATCCCAAATAATCCGGCTTCAGATCAGTGAGTGCCTGATAATGTATCAGAGGATGGGTGCCGACTGTCTGTAGGCTTTATTTATTAGCGTTATGTAAAGGGACTTTATCTCATTGAAGTAGTTATAGTGTCTGGTGTTCCTTGTTAAATAATTTCTGGTTTAACGCTAAATTAATGTCTCCTGCAAACTTGCCCCTATAAGCAGTGTCATTTATCCATTCCTCAAATGTTTATAATGCTATGTTTAATATTTAGAATATTGGCGCAGTCCATATCACCAGTAGTCCGTGCTGTACGTATCATAATTGGGATTGAATAGTATATCAACGAGAGACTTACACTTAAACCAGCAACAGGGTCATCGAGTCTAGAACGAAGCACACAGGCCCAATCCTGCTTAATCTTTCATTGAAAGTAATTCACATTTCTGTCTACCAGGAAAAAATATAAATATTAAATGTGGAGTTTAACCCCCTAATCCCTTGGCTGCAGTACAGTATCAACAATTAGCCATATCCGCTTCTAATCTGTGATATTCAGAGAGAAACCTTTATTTTAGGAACGGTTCTTGTCAAATTGTGGATGAAAAAAGCCACGTGGGAATCCAAAGCCGTCATCTTTGCGAGGTGACTAGTTCAGGCCCAATTCTCCGAGGACACATGAAATCTGAGTTAAATTGTGTTATTTTTCTATATATTGGGATCTTGTGGGTATGTCTTTAGTAGGTTTCAGCATTTTACTTACATTGTTTGGAAACAAATTGTCTGTCCAGCTTCGTGGAATTAATGTCTAATTTTTTTACTTTTGTTTTTTCAGACACGGGATCTGAGGGCAAGCAGAGCCTTGTCTGCACTGGATATAGTCTAGTTCCTTACGGATCAGCTATAAAGACCACAAATAAAACCATAAAAGGGGTTTTTAATCCAAGTTGTGAGGTGGAATGTGGACGGAGATTATACCAGGAAGCCCAGCTTGGATCTCACTGGAAATCTGATTTGGACAAACGAACTTCAGCTCTCCCTGATCTCTGTAAAAGCCCCACCCCAAAGGGGACATTAAACGTCAGTTCAAGAACACAACGGATACCCAGACTGCTTGAATGTGCTGAATGCGGAAGAAAGTTTGTTTTCAGATACAATTTAAAGTATCATATGAGATCTCATACTGGGGAAACAAACCATGTAACGTACACAAAATCCACTCAGCCCAGGAAATGTATAAAGAGTACGACGAGGAAAACCCACCACAGAACTGTTAAACCATTTGTATGTACAAAGTGCGAGAGACGATTCCACCACATGGTGACCCTTCGAACGCACCAGCGAATCCACGCAGGGAGAATCTTTACCTGCACTAAATGTGCAAAATGTTTCTCACACAGGGTGATTCTTTTGGCTCATCAATGGCTTCACACCGGTAAAAAGCCTTTTTACTGCACTCAGTGCAATAAAAGCTTCTTACACACGAGTTTTCTCCAGAAACATCTAAAAGTCCACACAAGGAAGAGGCCTTTCATCTGCTCAGAATGTGGTAAACGGTTTAGTAGGAAAACTCGATACACTGAACACATGTTGTGTCACACTGGGAAGAAGACTTATTCCTGTACAGAGTGTGGGAAGTCCTTCAACAATGAGAAAGCACTTTTCATCCACCTACGGTTTCACTCTAAGGGGACACCATATCTCTGTACTATGTGTGGGAAACACTTTACCCAGTTTGGAAATTACATTTTACACTGCTCACAGCACTCCACGAAGAAACCATTCTCCTGCTCGAAGTGTGAGGAGGAATTTGCCACCAAACTTGAACTTCGAAGACACCGTTCTGTCCACACCAGGGAGAAACCATTTGTGTGCACTGAGTGTGGCCAACAGTTTGCACTACACGAGAATTTTTTATCTCATGAGCTACTTCACACAAAAGAGAAACCCTTTACCTGCACAGATTGTGGAAAATGCTTCCGAAAGAAATTCGATCTTCAATCCCACCATCTGAATCACACCAAGATTAAGTATTTTGAGTGCACTGAGTGTGGGAGAAGGTTTAATTCGACAAACAGCCTTCTTCGACACCAGTTAATTCACACCGGTGAAAGGCCCTATATCTGTACCGAATGTGGGGAACGTTTCATACGGAAGAGGAGTCTGGATGCTCACATTCAGATTCACACGGGACTGCCCCGTAAGGAAAATGTTCTTCTCAACCTTCAGCAGGTCAACGCTGACCTTGGCACTACCTTTCAGACTCACAAAGTCGAGTCCTTTACTTGTACTCAGTGTGGGAGAAGCTTCAGTCGCAGACCCCTCCTCCGTCTCCACCAGTTAATACACACCAGGACGAGGCACTATGTTTGTAAGGAATGTGGTAAGAGGTACAGACAGAAGAAGAGCCTTGATGCTCACATACAGGTTCACACAAGAAAAGCACAGTTTTCACGTGGAAAGTGTGATAAAAAGATCTTACCAATCAGGGATCTACACAGCCTACAAAATGTCCAAACATGGGTGAAGCCTTTGGCCTGGAACAATGGTTAAATAGGCATCTTGAAGAATCAAAATCTTAAAGCATCATGGGACTCTTTCTGGGAAAAAACATGTGGATACGAAGGGTGCCAGGAAAGGGACTTATTGACGAGTTTCATCTTCAGCTTAATTTAATATTGGAACTTATGTCTGTCAGGGATTTTTGCCGACTTGGAATGACTGGTGATAGTGTTTACTAGGAAGATATTAAAATAAATCTGATACTGATTATTGACTTAACTGTGTATGTGCTGCTTGGAATTCTCTCCATTTGATAAGTCATTCTGGAACCTGTAAAGTTACCCGTCAGATCAGTGCCACACTTTTGCTGAGCCATCTTCTATTAATGCTCTATATGTAAAGCACTCTGTGCCCGGGTCTGGAAATCCGATTATTCTGCGTTTAGTGATATTTATAACTCAGACTTCCAGTGATCTAATTCCCCTCTGTGCGCACTTTGCGGAGCCTCCCGTGTGAGCTGGGACATGTCGTAGACTGCCGTATTTTGAGTCCCCAAGCAATGTCCTTGCACATTGTGTACCCCCCCCACTTCCTGCCATTCCCATAATGCCCTCCGGACTCCCAATAATGTGTGAACTAAGTGCATGTTGTTGTTATTATTATTATTAATATTATTATTTCTATTTGTTCATCATGTTTTTTGGTACAGACATTTTGGATTCGCAGTTGGCTGTTTTTTCTGTTCGATGACCATTATTGCTATGTATCCAGATACCCAAGCAGTAATAGGCCGTGCAGTCATTATTGCTATGTATCCAGATACCCAAGCAGTAATAGGCCGTGCAGTCATTATTGCTATGTATCCAGATACCCAAGCAGTAATAGGCCGTGCAGTCATTATTGCTATGTAGGCAGACACCCAAGCAGTAATAGGCCGTGCAGTCATTATTGCTATGTATGCAGACACCCAAGCAGTAATAGGCCGTGCACTCATTATTGCTATGTATCCAGATACCCAAGCAGTAATAGGCCGTGCAGTCATTATTGCTATGTATCCAGATACCCAAGCAGTAATAGGCCGTGCAGTCATTATTGCTATGTATCCAGATACCCAAGCAGTAATAGGCCGTGCAGTCATTATTGCTATGTATCCAGATACCCAAGCAGTAATAGGCCGTGCAGTCATTATTGCTATGTATCCAGATACCCAAGCAGTAATAGGCCGTGCAGTCATTATTGCTATGTATGCAGATACCCAAGCAGTAATAGGCCGTGCAGTCATTATTGCTATGTATGCAGATACCCAAGCAGTAATAGGCCGTGCAGTCATTATTGCTATGTATGCAGATACCCAAGCAGTAATAGGCCGTGCAGTCATTATTGCTATGTATGCAGACACCCAAGCAGTAATAGGCCGTGCACTCATTATTGCTATGTATCCAGACACCCAAGCGGTAATAGGCCATGCAGTCATTATTGCTATGTATCCAGATACCCAAGCGGTAATAGGCCGTGCAGTCATTATTGCTATGTATCCAGATACCCAAGCGGTAATAGGCCGTGCAGTCATTATTGCTATGTATCCAGATACCCAAGCGGTAATAGGCCGTGCAGTCATTATTGCTATGTATGCAGATACCCAAGCGGTAATAGGCCGTGCAGTCATTATTGCTATGTATGCAGATACCCAAGCGGTAATAGGCCGTGCAGTCATTATTGCTATGTATGCAGATACCCAAGCGGTAATAGGCCGTGCAGTCATTATTGCTATGTATCCAGATACCCAAGCGGTAATAGGCCGTGCAGTCATTATTGCTATGTATGCAGATACCCAAGCGGTAATAGGCCGTGCAGTCATTATTGCTATGTATGCAGATACCCAAGCGGTAATAGGCCGTGCAGTCATTATTGCTATGTATGCAGACACCCAAGCGGTAATAGGCCGTGCAGTCATGATTGCTATGTATCCAGACACCCAAGCGGTAATAGGCCGTGCAGTCATGATTGCTATGTATCCAGACACCTAAGCGGTAATAGGCCGTGCAGTCATTATTGCTATGTATCCAGATACCCAAGCGGTAATAGGCCGTGCAGTCATTATTGCTATGTATGCAGATACCCAAGCGGTAATAGGCCGTGCAGTCATTATTGCTATGTATGCAGATACCCAAGCGGTAATAGGCCGTGCAGTCATTATTGCTATGTATCCAGATACCCAAGCGGTAATAGGCCGTGCAGTCATTATTGCTATGTATGCAGACACCCAAGCAGTAATAGGCCGTGCAGTCATTATTGCTATGTATCCAGATACCCAAGCAGTAATAGGCCGTGCAGTCATTATTGCTATGTATCTAGATACCCAAGCAGTAATAGGCCGTGCAGTCATTATTGCTATGTATGCAGACACCCAAGCAGTAATAGGCCGTGCAGTCATTATTGCAATGTATGCAGACACCCAAGCAGTAATAGGCCGTGCAGTCATTATTGCTATGTATGCAGATACCCAAGCAGTAATAGGCCGTGCAGTCATTATTGCTATGTATGCAGATACCCAAGCAGTAATAGGCCGTGCAGTCATTATTGCTATGTATGCAGATACCCAAGCAGTAATAGGCCGTGTAGTCATTATTGCTATGAATGCAGATACCCAAGCAGTAATAGGCCGTGCAGTAATAGGCCGTGTGGTCATTATTGATCTTTATTTGCCAACAGACCGGTTTTAGTCCTGTGTTTGCACTCCTCATTGCCTCATTACTCTGATACGGTTTTATTCTCCCTCCAGTTTGGCAGAATAGCGATACTTCTAACTAAGCCTATGCAATTCTCTTTTAATTCTAATGAAATAAATGCAATTATTTCTGATATTGTGTAATGCGGGCTCCTTTATATTTTCCTAGGTTCGTGGACTGGCATGTGAGATATTTGTTTGCAAATCAAAGTGATTTTCTATGAGACAAGTTCGATTTAACAATCCTGCTCAGCTGTTGGCAATCGTGCCTTTTTCTAGATAATGTGATATATGATGTATTGATCTCACATAATAAAGATTTATTCTGATATTGCATGTGTCTCTATAAAGCTCTGTAAGAACCTTCTTACGTCTAGAAAGCTGCTTTTGCCATTTTGTGAAATTTGAAGCCAGAGAGAGAGTAATGTTGGTGGATCCTATTCCAGGAATATCCCCGGGGAGCAGGTCACAATCCAGTCACCGTATATTTATATCCACACTCCTCCCAAAACTGGAATCTGGTACCCAGAAATAACTCTGCCAGCTGCCTCCCCCAAAACCCACGGCCCCATGGCCAACAACACGAGGGATTAATTCTCCTATATTATGTATGGTGGAGTGTGGTAAAACTCTAAAAATCACAGGGCTATTCATACTGTGTGAATTGTTAGGAATTCAAAACCAATTTAAGGGACACTATAGTCACCAGAACAACTACAGCTTATTGTATTTGTTCTGGTGAGTAGAATCATTACCTTCAGGTTTATGTGCTGTAAACACTGTTAGTTTCAGAGAAAATGCAGTGTTTACATTACAGCCTAGGGATAACTCCACTGGCCACTCCTCAAATGGCTGCTAGAGGTGCTTCTTGTGGCAGTGCTGCACAGTGTATCAGTGTCTCCACCCTCTGCATGGAGACACCGAACTTTCCTCATAGAGAGTCATTGATTCCATTAACCTCTATGAGGAGATGCAGATTGTCCAGGGCTGTGTTTTAATTGTGTTGGCTCTGCCCCTGATCTGCCTCCTTGACAGTCTCAGCCAATCCTATGGGGAAACATTGTGATTGGATCTTGACGCCACTTCTGATGATGTCAGCAGACATAGGCAAGTCAGGGTCAGAGCCAGCAGCTGCAGACTTGAATACAAGTAAGATTTTACTATATTTAGGGAGGCAAGAGAGGGCCAGGGGGGCTAGATGGTGGTTTTAACACAATAGGGTCAGGAATACAAATTTGTGTTAGATTTAAGTGAACAAGTAGTATAGTTACAAACATATATACTAGTAAGGGTGCCACAGTCACAAATGTGCATGTATAGTTACCATACAAATTGTAGGATTAAACATGTAATAGAAACAAAAAAGAACATATACATAGTGCAGTGTTTAATAATACAGAAAAAACAAGGAATAAAAACAATAGATACACTCATAAAAAGAGTGGCACAAAGAGAATTACTTCTAACTATACATGCACGTTTGTGACTATGGCGCCCTCACTGGTATATATTTGTAACTATACTACTTGTTCACTTGTGTCTGTTGGGATTTGGGAGTGATCCCCTATTTGAGTGGCTAGCCTGCACTATTTTTATCGCTTACCGCCCCTTTGCTTTTGTGTTAAATTTAATACAAGTTTATGTTCCTGACCTTTAAATTTTATGTCCGAGTATCCGTGATCTCAGTTTTGCTGCAGTTCGAGTTCTGTTATTGTGGCCTATAGTTTGCAATTCACTGTGAATTCCTGACCCTTTGGTGAATAGCCCTGAATTAACCCTGCATGAGCTATAGTTGCTGAAAACACAGCTTATCTATATATAAAGTGATAAAGACTCCGGCTCTGCCATATTTCTAAAACATTACTTCTTATTTGTTTAATTCAGCACAATTCCGACTCTAGTAAAGAAACCAGTTAGATTCTAGGATAGAAAATTTATTGCCAGAAATTTAATCACTTCCTCATCTAGAAGAAAACCCCAAATATTCTCCATAAAAGCAGAGTCTATATGTAAATGTGAGATACTATTGGTTAATTTTATTTTTCAATCTTGGGTGCAGTTTGATGCCTCCCTAAATCAGGTGACCTTGGCCTCCATGGTTTCGTATGTCTCTGGCAGCCATTTTGTCTAGTTTCCATTGTCTAATGTTTGCTATGCTTTTGTGCCTTTTTTCTCATAAACTTTGTGCTCTGGGCCGGCTCGGTGAAACCATTCAGACCACGAACCATCATAAACAGCCACATCCTGTTTCCCAGTAACGAAGGCGGCCAGTGCCAGGTGACAAGCAGTGACTCCACGGTGGCACGTTGCTGTCAGCGGCTTGGTCAGGTCCACCCCCTTCTCCTGGAACAGCTTGCGGATCTCATCGACTGATTTCTCATATCCGTCCTTTGTCAATAAGCTGGAAAAGGGAAGGTTGAGGGAGCCAGGGATATGCCCAGGTCCAATCCCTGAAACATGAGAAACAGAGAGAAATAAATATTAAAAGATAATGGTGTGTTCGAAAGGATGGCTACATTTTTTCTAGTTGTGGGCACCAGTGAACATATTGGGATCAGAAGATGTGACGGCCCACACCATGAAGGGTTTGGAGCAAACTGCCACAAATTAATAGAATGAATTACTCTGGATCCCTAAAAATCTCCATATTTGGCGAGCACCACACATTTTATCAAGCTTTCTCATAGGAAAGTATTGTAGTTTTCTTTGGGCCTTTTGTAATGGGCAGGTTTTACTCGGTATGACCACCACTAGTGTAGTATTTAACTCTATAATGTAAACCTTGCTGGTTCTAAAAGAAAAAACCCAGCTCCAATTTTTGCAGGGTTAACATGACCGGACCACCACTCCCAGACCACTTGAGATAATCTGGGTTGCTTTAGTGCCCCTTTAAAGGGACACTAAAGGCACCCAGACCACTTAAGCTCATTGAAGTGGTCTTGGTACAGTGTCTCTATTGCACTTAGTGCTGCAAAGTGAAACATTTTAACTCTTTATTCACGTTGGTGGGGGGCACGAGGGAGGGGGAACAATAGTGCCAGGAATACAGCTTTTTATTCCTGGCACTTATAGTATCCCTTTAAATTGGTGGAATTGGTTTTACTGACCTATTTTTGCTATAAACTAAATTTGATAATAAATGTGTTTATGCCCCCCAAGAAAACAAGAGTTTTCAAGACAAAATTCAGGCAGATTTGGAAAGATTATCTGGGTCTGCTAGTCATAACTTGGCTGCTGTAGCCTGAATGTTTTAATACAGTTTTCACTTTCTAATTTAGTGCATTTGCCCCATACCCTTCCCAATACAATGACTAGTTAATGTACCCGATAAACAACAACACAATAACTATTGAATTTACCCCATAAACAACAATACAACACAATAACTATTGAATTTACCCCATGTAGCGGACCCCTGGTAACCTGACTGGTTAACTCCGCTAATTCCCTTCCTTCAGCCGGCCGCGAACCAGTTAGGGCATAAGGGCATCATCCCTCCCAGTAACTAGACGACACACAGTCCTGAGGTACAACACGGCTTTTATGCATAACCCTGTGCAAGGGGTTGACCACACAAACATACAAGAACACATCCCAAGATCCTCCCCCTCCCTGGGTCCCCGCTCGTGAATGGTCTCCAACCCATTTGTCCCCAAAGCCTGCCACTAAATGCTCAGGGATCTCCACACCAACCGCCAGGGGTCTTCTTCCCAGGAGTCTCTGTGCCTGGGAGTCTAGGCGCGGGAAAAAGGCACAGAAAAGCCCGCCAGCGGGAAAAGAACTAGTCACTTTGTCCCTCAGGCTCATGAGCGGCTGCCAAACTCGCCAGTGCCATAAAAATGCCCAAACCAATCTCAGGGACCCTCGCCTCGATCCCTCGATCAACTAGTCTCTGTTCGCGAGGTCATGGTGTGAAACCCAGACAAGGGAAGCATCTCCTTTCAGGGTACAAACGCTCTCCCTGGATGGCAATCTTCTATATGAATGGCGGCCACCCAGGGAAGCACTCATTAATTACTTCCCTTGCGGTTTCACACCTATGTTGCAAGTGTGAATGATTTGATTAATTGGTGTGAACGTTCTAATGGGGCACCGGGTAGGTCCTCATCTGGTAGATGACCGAGCGGTGGCGTTCACCCGGACAAATGGCGGCCACCCAAGGAAGCACTCATTAATGGTTTCCCTTGCGGTTTTGATACAAAGACGCACCAAACTCCATTGGCTTATAATATACAAAGACTGATTGTTACAACCAGTCAATGAACCCTGAAACTACACACTGAACCCAACAGCCCTCAATTAACTGAATACTGAACCCTGCAGCTCTCCACAGACTGAATACTGAACCCTGCAGCTCTCCATAGACTGAACACTAAACCCTGCAGCTCTCCATAGACTGAATACTGAACCCTGCAGATCTCCATTGACTGAACACTGAACCCTGCAACTCTCCATAGACTGAACACTAAACCCTGCAGCTCTCCATAGACTGAATAATCAACCCTGCAGCTCTCCATTGACTGAACATTGAACCCTGCAACTCCCCATAGACTGAGCACTGAACCCTGCAGCTCTCCATAGACTGAGCACAAAACCCTGCAGCTCTCCATAGACAGAACACTAAACCCTGCAGCTCTCCATTGACTGAATGCTAAACCCTGCAGCTCTCCATACACTAAACCCTGCAGCTCTCCATAGACTGAATAATCAACCCTGCAGCTCTCCATAGACTGAACACTGAATCCTGCAGCTCTCCATAGACGGAATACTGAACCCAGCAGCTCTCCATAGACTGAACCCTGAACCTGCAGCTCTCCATTGACTGAACACTGAACCCAGCAGCTCTCCACAGACTGTATACTGAACCCTACAGCTCTCCACTGACTGGATACTGAACCCTGCAGCTCTCCATAGACTGAATATTGAACCCTGCAGCTCTCCATTGCCTGAATATTGAACCCTGCAGCTCTCCATTGCCTGAACACTGAACCCTGCAACTCTCCATAGACTGAATAATCAACCCAGCAGCTCTCCATAGACTGAGCACTTAACCCTGCAGCTCTCCACAGACTGTATACTGAACCCTACATCTCTCCAAGGACTTGATACTGAACCCTGCAGCTCTCAATTGACTGCACACTGAACCCTGCAACTCTCCATAGACTGAACAGTGAACCCTGCAGCTCTCCATAGACTGAATAATCAACCCTGCAGCTCTCCATAGACCAAGCACGGAACCCTGCAGCTCTCCATAGACTGAATACTGAACCCTGCAGCTCTCCATAGACTGAATAATCAACCCTGCAGCTCTCCATATACTGAGCACTGAACCCTGCAGCTCTCCA